GTTCTCTTGAACGTTTGAGTAGTTAAAAGATAACTACTGTGAGATATTGTAATACTGCACGAATATCTGAGGAAATTTAAGAATTTTTGTTGTGATAATAATAAATTTTGTTCATTTTTCATCGGACTTGTGCATTCATTTCATAACGAACCCATACGCACACGACATTATTTAGCATGAGGGCAACAATACCTAAACTTTTGAGAAAAACAAAATTTTGTAACATGCCATGAAAATATTTAGTCATTAGAAAAAAATAATTAAAGAGAAACCTGAAGTATTAAAACAAGCAACAACAGAAATGACATACTTTAAAAATAATCATTACGAGTTTAGATATATTTAAAAGCATCGAAGAATTGTACATATACACATTTTTTTTAGCTATTTCTGAGCAATAATTTAGATACAGAGTAAAAATTAGAAATGGGAAAATACAAACAACACTCGAAAAGACCCAAACCTATAATCCACAAAATAATTAGCCTGAAATTGTGAAAATTAAATAAATTCTAGTGTCTTATTCTTTCATTGAGATAAAATGCCTATATATTCTTATTAAAAAGATTTTTTATAAAAGATTACACATTACATATATCCTGTGTTCAAAAGGTTTGCAGAAAAGTCATGTCTCATGGATTGAACATTTAATATTTTGTTTGTCAGAAAGCATGACTATACTCTCCGAAAAATAAATGGGCAAAATGATAGCAAAGTAGTTCAGAAAGCATGACTATACACTCCGAAAAATAAATGTGCAAAATGATACCAAAGCAGTAGAATAACTCAGATGATTGCACACTATTTGCACTCTATAGTGCAAATAATATGCTAGTATCTTTCAATCTTTTGGCATAATGATACATTTTGAACAAATGGTTAAATGTGCAGAAACAGATCCGGTTGATCTTTACAATATGGTAACTGGTAGTTTGGCGACATTTTGGAGGCGATAAAGGTTACTACCTGGGATTTTGGTAATAATGTGAGCAGTACTCAGTTCCGATTACGCATTATTTTGTGTGAGGGAAATGAGAGATCATGGGATATGTCATGTGATATTAATGGACGAATTACGGTTCTTTAATCGGAAAAGGGGGGAAATCGGGAAAAAATCTGGAAATTTTGTATTTGGCTTTATTCTGTGTTGTGTGAAACAGTGTTCGTGAATTTTTGGATCCCATGGCCGTAACTAAAGTGAATTCGAAATGGGTATTTATGTATGTATTAATTTAATGTATGTGCTCATTTATATTTTAAGTAGTAGTGTTTTTGAATTTAATTATATTTTAATTAAATGATAGTTATTTTGTGAATTTTATGTTTGTAGGAATTTAATATACGTTTTAGTTGAAGTAAACGTGCATGGAAATAATTTAAATATCTGACACTAAGTATTTGTAATGGTTGCAGTATGAATTCGTTGGTGACGTGTATAATGTAATTGATGATTTAGAGGTAAAAGTTTTTGGATATTTTATTTATTTTATATGTGGAAATGTTCATATTTGGAAAGGGTAAATACTTTTTCGCGATCAGGTAATTTCATATATGTTCTTTTTACCGGGTTTAAAGATTGAGAAAATTGTCATGTATTTTCGTGAAATTTTTCTAATTTATGAGAAAAAAGCAGTGTACATGGATATAGTGAAGAGTGTGCGCAATGCCATTTTTGTGCAATTCTGGGATGTTTTTTTAAGTAAAAATAAGTCGGCGTGTATATGGTTTATGTGTATGTGTTATTTTGAAAAACGCGTAAGGAGTATGGTATTGTGCACTTTTTCCCAATTTTGCAGTGAATATTTGTCATGATTAAGCAGTTTTGTTAGATAAAATTTCTAGCATAAGTGTAATTCGGCTAGTAGATTGTTGGAAGAAGTGTTCAGTAGATAAAAAGAAAAGAAACATGTCTTTACTTCGTGAAGACAAAATGGCGGCGGAAAAAAAAAATAGAGGGTTGCTGTAGGAGAGTTGGTCGCCAAATTTTCGCCAAAAAAACGCCAAGTTACCATAATGTAAAGATCAACCACAGATCCCTCTCGTGCCACAATTATCTCACTCGATGAATCTCTTACCCTGCAATTTCTGACTGCTCTTGCTTGTCAACCTCTAGATTCCAACTGCTGGCTCTTTCTTGTGCTACATATTGCAGACCTAATAAGTTTGCTCAACTCTATTTCAAAATTATTTTTAAATGTCTGTGTTTCAGTTCATTTAGCTTCCTCATCTGTAAAATAATTGTTCTAGCCCTTAAATATTTTGATTCAAAATTAAAAATAAATTTTTGGTGTCCAATTTTGATAAGTACACAATTTCTCACACCCTGTGGTATATATATCAGATATGTCTTTGGCATTTTACTTAGCTTCTAAAATTTCACCTGTTTGCTATAATTTATTATTTTTTGATGATGTAGGGCCTTTTTGCCTAATTACCCAATATCACTTCACAAATCATTGACCTTTTATCAATATTATAGGTTCAATATTTTTTTTTTTAAATCAGGCTATGCATGATAATGATGCTGAAAATCTACAAGAGATATTTTAAAAGAACATTATTCCAATGCTTTTAGGAATTACAGGAATGTTTGAGATCAGTGTGTGTATTCTGATGCATGTTTCTTCTAAGGTTAGTAGATATTTTTCATGTCAAAGAGCGCTGCTTAGCGAACATTAACTGAAAATTTCATTTAAAAAAAATTCAACTGACCGTTATGCTTACCATGAAATTATAATACTTAATATTTTTTTTCCAAATTTTAACAGGTGACAGCTATTAACAATTTGTCAGGTAAGAGGACTGAATACACTTATTCAATACACAGAAAATGCAGCCTTGTTTCATTATAAGAAATTTGTTTTGAAAAATTTATAATCACATTTTCAATGTTCTAGTATAAATAATTGAAGACGTGATAATAAATCTGGACTGAAACAATTGAAAGTAAAATAAGAAATTAAGAAATCTACAGCTTGCTCCATGTCTTTGTCAACAACTCAACTATGTACTACAGCTACAATTAAAGAACTACAACTACTACTAAAGAACTTTCTTAACTTCCAATTAATTGCTCAGAATAATTTTACACTTTTGTCTAGATTTACCTGGTATTTTTTGAAGAAAGAACAACACAAAATTTACTCAGTCATACATTTTTTGAGCCACTTTCCAAATTCTAACCAGTCAAATCTTTTAATTCATACTCACCTGCAAATTTATTTATAGCATCATGCATCAACTTCTCCACATCCACGGGGAAACTCACCCACTGTATTGTAGTATTGGTGGCTCCTGAATTACAACTTACCAACCATACCAATATAACATTACTGATAATTTTTTATATTTACAAAACCAAACACCAATCAGCTATGTCTCGGTTTAGCATATGAATTTACACATAAGGACATTTATAAATATTAATTCTTTTGGTACTATTTCGTTTTGAGGACCATAAAAAAATTGCAGCGAAAATGTATGCGCAAAAGCGGCGAATCTAGCAATTGCGCCCATTTAAAAGCGCACTAAATCTAGCGTACACGCTGATTTCAGATTGCGTAAAGTTTAGATAGTTCTATATTTCTTAATATGCCATTGAAATACTAGTTTAATTTTTAAATACTGTTTTTGATATCCTATGTATTTAACAATTTGGGAATTGCCCGTGACGAAAAGTCTGCAATAGAATTTTGAGTAAAGTGCAGAATCACCCACCGCTTGACGCGTTTTTAAGAATTGCACATACTCAGCATCCATGTACATAACGACCTATTTTCACTTAAAAAGTAAAAGAAAATTGACAAAAATCCATTTGCTTTTACCCTTGTAAAAAGCAGCAAACAAATAAGTGGGCGATTCTGCACTTTACCGAGAATTTTTTCATAGAAAAGGCATCATTCATTATAGAAAATTATGTTTGAACAACCGAGATGAAATTATGCTTTAGCGATAACTCGGTAGCAAAATAGCGATGCAGGCATCCATTCAGTTATGTTTAGCAATTTTTATATAAATTATAAAAATGATCTGAAATAGTTATTTACGCTTATGCTTCCATTCAGTCATGTTTAGCCTTTTTTATATAAATTATAATAATAAAAAGTACTATATGAAATTAACATTTCACCTAAATTAAAACATCAATTTTAGATAATTATTTAGTATTATACTTCCTTTCTTGCGTTAGGGTTGCCGCTATTATTTTTAGCAGCACTGGCATCAACAATAGTTCGGCGATTTTTTACGGCCCTCAAAACTGAATAGTACCATTCTTTTTATATGTTTAATTAATCTTAAGTTTTTTCAGATGTATATCATATTTTTGGATAGAGGGAAAAACTTTTTAAACAGACTCACAGAGAAAAAAATTCTGTACAGTATAATATTAATTGTTCTTTAATATTTACACACAAAACTTTTCATAGCATTTTACATATAATTTGTAAAGATATCCATAACGAATAGTTTCAAGGAACATTTATAAATTTCAATAAATTGCATTTTGCTGAATACAGAATTATTAATTACCAACACCAGTCACAATTCTCGAAAGTTAGGTGAAGTATCTCAAATTCTGTTTAGTAACAGCCATTGAAAAGTAATCCAAGTTAGTAAATTTGTCTTTAAATAGCTTTGCAAATTCTGGGATTAAAGATATGGAACCTTTTGTATTTCATTTATTACAGCATACTGCATGTTTTATCAATTAAAATTTTTTGCTATATAGAGACTATATAAAAAGTTAACTTTTATATTTCCATAACCCTCCCATTTAGTCTTGGAACCCAGCCCCATAAAATTTTCTATAATATATAGAAAAACTTCAGAATTGGAAGTACATATCTATGACAAATATTTAAAAAATGAAATATAGATTTCTTTTTCAAACATCTTGGCATATGTACAGGCACATGTTCACTTCTGCGTTGCATAATAATGATGACTTGCAGATTTCAATTAATTTGAAAAGAGTATTTTCAAATAAAGAAATGACTTACCCTTGCTGCCAGTTATGACTGGAATGTTTCTTGGCCTAGAACGCACATCAAAAATAATAGGTCTCTGAACCCATGGAATAAGAAAATGTGTTCCTTCACCAATTACATTAGGTTTAACTCCAGCAAATCTGTCAAAAATAACTGCTCTATGTCCACCATCAACTGTAAATAAATGAAAATATTTTTATTCAACTGGAGGGGGTAAAAAAATCATACAGACATAAATTAGGAGGAGGGAAAAAAAGATGAGAGTAGGATGACAATTTTACTTCATAAAGATGTCTGTCTTTTGCATCAACCACAATTCTCAGTTTACCTCAAAATTCCTACACTATCATGTGGATATTTAATATATACTTTTATAAGCAAACATTTAATTTTTATATACTGTTTTTCATAGTAACAACAATTAGCTTTATTATTTGATATTTGTTTAATTGGATATTTCAATAGTTTTTAAGCATAATTATGTAGTTGTACTTTTATCATAAATTAAAATGTACATTTTTCTTTAATTTTAAACAACACAGAGTGATATAAAAGATAGTTTTCAAAACTTTCACAGTTCATTAATTTTCAGATTTGATGAAAATATCACAGAACGATTTCAAATTACCAGTTTCTTCCCTTCTTAGCAGTTCTACCAGTTCCTGATATATACCACTGGATAATCTTTAAACATTATTAAAGATACTAGAAGATTTTTGTGCATGACTTCAGCTAGTTCTTTTTCTTCCAAGCTAACAGTCCACAAATGACTGAGCAGACAAACCACTAAACACTGGTAGTTTGATCTGGATTCAAATCTTGGTATACAGGTTGGCTGGCAGCATGGTAGTTTTTGCAGTTTTCCTCATGAGTAATATGAATACCAACAGTTCTTAGGAAGTCTGTAATAACAGCATCCGTTCTCTTTGGCAGATAGCCCTGGTGCACTTTTTCATGATTAAATAGTTGAATCCAGTTAAAGAACAATGCTGTTTCATAATAGTCAGCCTATTACTCTTCTGTAAATGCCAGTGTCCTAATCAGCCCCATAAATTTTCTAAAATGATCATATCACAAAAGATGCAAATCTAAACTACAGATTTTGGATGAGTTAATAACATTTCTGAATAAATCATGGGTTTTCTGTGTACTTAAGCATTATCCTGTTGATGCCCTGATAATTTTGTGCCCAAACAATGTGATTCAGCGTCAGTTATAAATAAGCATGCCATAAAAACATATTCATAATAGCTATGCTGTCATTTGGGGTAACCCTAATTGATTTTCAGTAAGTCGCATTTTGTTTTTATGATCAAGGTTGTAAATTAACTATTATTACTGTATTTTCCCCCCCTTATATTTTGGGATAAAAAAAATTGAAATTTAGGACCTGCAAATCAAAGTTATAGAAATCAAAATTATCAAAGTTATAGAAGCCTACCATTAAAAAAGTGTGTATTAATGGCCATGATATGGTCAGTTGAAGATGGCTGACAAAACAATAACAGATTAGGAAAAGTACCTACAAGAAGTCTGTATTCTTAGTATTCCAAAGTTTCTGGCAAAATTGAAGGGCATAAAAAATAGTAGAAACTGAAGAAAGCCCTTTAATGAAGCAGTTTCAATAATGATTACTTATTAGATAAAGAGGCATCAGTTCTTTCAGAATTCCACAAAAATCATTAGTACATTTTTCAGTGAATCACTTGATACACTTTCACTGAATTTTTCACTTGATTGACTTTTATGGTTTGATGATAGCCAACTTTTACAGTTGATGGGATGATACGTAAGCACCGTCTTCTGTTACTTACATTCTACAGGTACATTTTTACACAGCCATACAGAGTGAAATGAACAATCTAAAAAACATCTGATAACCGGTCATTACATTCTTAAATTTTCTGAAAAATTTATAATTTTTCTTTCCAGAATCAGAATTAAGTTATGACAATGCTTAATTGTATACTGCCATCACTTATCAAAGAAGTTGAAAACAAAATAAAATATTCTATGCTGACAAGTTAAAACCACATATATACATTAGTAAAATAAGAAGACTTATTCTTGATACTTTTCTAATAATCCCATATGAAATGTCAGTTCAACATAATGCTTTCACAGCAGCTTATTTTCCTATAAGTTAATAATATTTAGTTCCTGTGCAAGTTCAATAGCAGTTCGAACTTAAATCACTGTTTTTTCCTCCAAAGAATCGATTATGTGAAATTTTGTATACTGCTATCCAGCAGCATCTACTTATCCATATTAAAAATACAACTTCATCTTTATATATTATCACCTGGGGTGATAAAATATTTGCATATCAAAATTTTTCCAATATCTGCTTTTCCTCATTTTATGCATTTCTATATAAATTGCATTATAACAGGTTGAAAATTTACTGAAATATACTTTTGAATCATTCTGGAATATACGACCAAATTTTTCAGATTAAAGTTCAAAATTCTGATCAATTTGCATGCAGATATACAAATATGGTACATACTTCTATAGAATAACACACTGTGGATTTAAAAAGAATGGAATCCCACCATTAAAAAAAAAGAGAGAGGCATGGATTAATGGATACAATATTGGTCAGCTGAACATGGTCGACATAGCAGTCAATCATATCCAGTGAATAAATATAATAATGAAATAATTCAAATACAAAAAATGTATAGTCACAGCAGACAGAGCTTTTAATAAAATTGGACAGACTAATAAAATACAGTATAAAGTTTTAGATCATAAGTTTAAATCTAATAAGATAGCATACAGAAATTATAAAATTAAAAATATGAAACTGTAATTTGTGATCTAAAGGGTATCAAAATACACACACACACACAAAAAAAAAAAAAAAAAAAAAAGAAAAGAAAAAAAGGAGCTTTATTTATTTGTTTACCTTTTTAAACATTTCTTTCAATGTAAGTTATTTAAGTTGCTTCGTTTTTCGTGCTAATACTTTCTCGTTCACTCTGTAGATTGACATAATCTTGTTTAGTTACATTTTAAGTCCTGTAACTGCTGTTTCGAGAATTGCGACAAATTTGTCAATCGAAATTTGCTTGTTTTCAGTAACTTCTCTGTCACTTTCTTCACAAACAGTAGTGGTATTTTCTGGATCTAGAACCATGCTACAGATTTTGCCATTCATTAATTGATTGATGATTGAGAAGCATTGTCATCACAATGAAAACCTTCTTTTATATTATCTTCATTTATTATTGCATATCCACATTTCTCTACAAAATCCGTTAATTGGAAAATTTCACCTTTGTTTTGTGATATCTGAAAACCTTTAAAATTAGCAGCTATCATCATCAAATTTAGCTATCCTTCACTATACATATTTGGCTAAGCATCATGTGCTTGGCAACTAAGTACAAGTTGTTCTGTTAAATTTTATCTTACTTCTATTGCATACTGAGACAATTAAGCCTTAATTGTATTAGTTATTTATTATACTTATGTCTATTTCTTGCACATGCTTAAGGCTTATCAGAATTCTGACTAAATAAATTCCCATATATACTCAAGCCTTATTGAGGGCTGGCGCCAGACATCTTGCCGCCTAATACAGTCTCTGGGGATCCATATTCTGCAACTCGTTGCGCTCATACGAGCTCTGGCACTGGTTCTGGGTTTATGTGAATAACAAATCAGTTATTCTTAATTCAAATAGCCCTGAATGTAATCTTTGGGTCTATGAGTATCATCAAAAAAATCTATTTTTAGCATATGGAAAGAAATATTTGGTAAAATTTTCCTCGTCACCATTTTTTACAACATTTAATTTAAATCTGTAATCATTGCCAAGCGTAATGTCAACATAAAAGGTTACCATACTCCTTTATTATTCAATTACTATTATAATAAAAAAATGTTTAGGCATCGCTACATGAGTCATTACTCAAGCTGTCATATTTTGATAAACATGCGGTGATGAAAGGAAAGTATAATAAAGAATGATTCACCAGGTTGGCATCAGATCAATGATGTACCGTCTTTTTTCCGAAAATAAGACACTGTCTTACTTTCTTTTTTGGTCCAAAATACGCGTTGGGGCTTATTTTGGGGGGAGTGCAAAAATAAAAGTATATTTATATATTTTTATTTAATACTTATTTTACACAGAATACAGAAATTTAAATTTATTCAATTACAGTCATGTCATCTTCTTCTGGAACATTGTCACAAATAAAATTCTGATTTTCTTCCAAATCCATTTCCCGTTGAATCATTGGTCCGAATTTCTCATGTCCTGCGATATAACTATCGGCGCTGCGTTGTATGTGTCTGGGGGGTTACGGTTCAGCCCAAATTTCACCCCGACAAGAGTCTGCCAACGCTAACGGATGACGATGCCTTTCCTGTGAACGTATCTCTCTCGGGGCAAACGATGAACTGGTTAAGATAAATTCCAATAATTAATTTGAAACGAACTGTAGAGGTAAACAATTAATTTCTCGAAATATTTTGTTTCCAACATTTCTCTGAAATACGAGTATTAGGAAAGCTAAACATATTATTACTTATACTTAATAAATCAACAGCATTTTTTAACGAATTCTTTTTGTCACATTATTTTAACTAGGGATTATTTTTCGGGGGATGTCTTATTTTACAAAATGTTCCAAAAATCACGATAGGGCTTATTTTCGGAGCATGTCTTATTTTACAAAAAGTTCCGAAAATCACGATAGGGCTTATTTTCGGAGGATGTCTTTTTTTCAGAAAAAGACGGTATCTATGTGGAATGCTTCAATTTGAGATGCGTGCCAAAGCAGATAGATACACAGCAACCGAGCCAAATTACTGATTGTACAAATTTACGCTAAAATGATTGTTTCTTTAATTACAAGGTATTTTATTTAGTGTCGAAGTAAAATTAAGAATCAGGACTCTCCAGATGTTTTATTATGCATGAAGGGGGGAATCAAATATGCATGCATTAAGCCTATGAGAAAAACCGTTTTGGTGGTTTTGAGGTCCGGATTTCGGACTTTGTACTGTAGTAGAAATCGATGAGTCTTTTTCAGAAACACAAAAAAGTTAAACAGCTTGAACTGGTTGTTTATAAAATAAATATATTCTGTTCCTTCAGAATTCTCCAGAAACATCTGGCACAACTTCGATAGGATCTCCGCCAACTTTCCTGATTCGATGGTAGCCATCTTTCATGACCGATCAGATAATATGCAAGTACCCTGAATTCATATTTCAAAGTATCATAAGTAAATATCTCAATTATATTGTGTGGTACTTTTCCGTTTTGCCATCTCAAATCTCACTAAGTAGACTTTATTGGCAACAACACACAGTACACATAAAAAATTGTTAACAAATGTTAGTTCTAAGAATGTTTTATTTTGAAGGCACAAACATTTTAATATCATTTAAAATTTTGTAAAAAGACATTAATTTAAGAATTTAATATGCTTTCATGGTACAACATCTTGATTCGCCGGTTCATATCACGTGACCCCAAGTGATTTCATCACGCATAAGCCATGCTACAAAAATCTAATTCTTTTAGTAATTCTCTACATTAATTTCAAGTTAAATCTTAATAAGGAATACAAGTTTAAATGCAAGAATTATTTCAATTCGTATGAATAGCTTCCTCAGAAATTATGTAAAACCGCAGTGCAAAAAACGCAGTCCTTTTGAGTGTAGTATAATCCTGCTTCGCTATGGCATTTGCATTAGAATTGATGAATTTAACCCTTGACTTTGCCCTTTCTATATTTTTGCCTTCGGGTGAGTGGTGTGTTTGTATCCTAATTGACTTAATAACCATTATTGACCACAGGGCATAAAATTGAACTACCTGGTAAAAATTTTATGTAATTGTATGCCAGTATTGAAAGAAACAACCAATCTGATAAGAAATGGCTGGATTTATTTTGAAAATGAGGCATAAAAGGTTACCAGCGAGGATATTCTGTATGGCATATGTTGTACCACTTTTGGCGACTTTATCGCCTGCGCCGGCAAAATGGAAAGTACTTATTGCGTTCTCAGAAAATTTAAATTACACTTTTCATAGATAAGCAATTTATGTATTTAAAAATTCTCTAAAGATAAAACAGCCTTTTACAGTTACATAAGTTATATTCTCAAAATAGTATTAATCTTATTACAGTCAAAAGTCGTTAATTCGAACACCCATAATCCGGAACTTAAAGCTAAGAACTTTCTGCGTATGTGTCGCATTGACGCATGCACGTAAGACCTTTACGGCTGAATATGCGTGTGCGCATGCGCATAAAATGCTTACACATGCACATTTAATGTATAACAGACGGTATAAGCTAAGCTAAAATTACCTAATTCAGTTAATGTTGCAGATTGCGTTGTTCCTTAATCTTCGAATTGGATCCGGCTTATTATTTTTTGCAGACCGTTAGAGCAATTTCATAAAAGTAAGCTTGAACTTTCGATTATGTCAAATAGAATTTCCGATATATATTTACTAATATGTAAAGGATCTACAAAGCGAAAGTATGTTTTGAAGTCCATTAAACAAAAAGTGGAATTGCTGCAAAAAATGGATAAAGGCGTATCCTTCTTTTCGCGGGAGGGGGAACGCCGCGGGGCGAAATGGATTGGAAGTTGATCTGTCAGCACTATCCTTATCTTCAGGGCAGATGTTTTCATTTTATTTGGCTTATAATTCCTTACCAAATGTAGTATTTCATCTCAATGTATTCCGTCTTTGATATGATTTAAATTAAATTCCTCGTCATTATAATTTGCTTCCGATAGTGAAGAAAGTGACACAGAGGTTATTGAAAATGAAAAAATTTCAATTGACCAATTAGTCGGTATTCTCAACACAGCAATTATAGGACTTGAACAGCGGAACTTTGTAACTGAACAAGAAATTATGTCTGTTTATAGAATCAAAGAGAAAGTATTATCACATATAACGAAGCAGCTTAAACAACTTACATTGAAAGAAATGTTTAATAAAGTAAACAAATAAATATTAAGCTTTTTATTTTTGTAAATTTTGATACCCTTTAGATCATAATTGTTTTTTATTTCACAAATTATGGTTTCATATTTTTAATTTTAAATTTCTGCATGCCATCTTACCAGATTTAAACTGATGATCTATAAACCGGAATTGCCGAAGTCCTGAAGAGTCCAGATTAACGACTTTTGACTGTAGTATAATCCTGCAATTAAGCTGCATACATTCAATGGATTTAATTCATCAAGGATTTTTAAAACGTAATGTGATTAAATAAAGAAGCAAGTATGATTAATATAATGCATACATATTATCTATAAAATTATAATCAAATTTTCTCATTAGCAACAGCAGCTTCGAGGTGTCAAAATGCTGCACCAAATGCTTTAAACAGCTGTTTAAAACTGAAAATTTCAGATAACATTTCATGACATGTATAAAAACAATATATGATAAATTTCAAACTAGACACCAGAGCCTTTCAGATGCTGTGCTGCTTATGAAAAAACAATATTAAATATTGTCAACATAACAGCACTAATTACAATAGTATAAATGCATTTTATATTACTGAAATGAAAAAGAATGAAATGATAGGCTAACTTTTACCTGTATATAATGCGGAATTCACTACACCTCCAGCAATGGCAAGACCAAGGCCTAACCTTCCAATATTATTAAATAATTGTGCAGCCATTAATCACTAGGCAATAAAACAATACATATTAAAGTTAAATAATATACCTATAGTAAAATCTAAATATTTAAAAATTTATGTGACTGAAAACAAAATTAAGTCAAGCAAAATAAGATGAAAACAAAATATTATGAATATTCTCCCACTTTCATTTGATTTATTTCAGAAGTGGGACAAACTAAATTTTTTTCAAATCCAAATCTCTCATGCATCAAATTGGAAAAATCTACTTTTCTGTTAATGCAGCACATCTAAATGCCAAACATGAAACCTAACTATATGGTGGCTAACAATACATAAAGCTTCATGAAGAGAATAACTATTTTATATATAATGAATACAATATAGACTGGCGAGCCAAAAAATTATGACCATCCCTACATTTTTCAATGAAATTCTCTGGATGACGTGGAGGACATGTGATTAAGTAGGAATGGTATTTAACTGTTGCTAGAGAACATAAGGAATCATTCTTGCACTTACTTTTGTGAGTGTTTGGAAAGGCTGCTGATCTAAGCAAATTTGATAGAGGGCAGATTGAAATGGCCCGAAGACTTGGAACGAGTATCACCCAAACTGCACAACTGATAGGTTGCTTATAACTTGCTGTGAGTATTTATGGAAAGTGGGTAAATGACAGTGAAACCAGCGGTAGATGCCAAAGTGTATAAGGTGCACCGTTGTATATATAATACACACCTGTAATTTTATACAACATTTTAAAATTTTTAGATACATTTGATATATAACATAGCCTCATTTCTTTACGAAGGAACCTGAAAGATCCATGCATGATGTTCTCACCTTCTGAAGTCAACATACAAGAACATACAGACTCCCCGTGCACCACATATGTACAACACGGGGCTTACAGAAGTAAGTTAACTAGAACATTAAAGGTTACATGTATAAATAAACATTAAAAATTACATGCATAAATAAAGCGAACAAAAGCAGAGAACAGCAGTCTGGACTTCACGAAAACAGATAAGTTCACTGGCCAAATCACTCCGAACATTTTCAAATCGTTCTGTAAGCATAATCTAGAGCCATCAAATGTTGGGCACGAGAAAATCAAATGTTCCACATCCTGAGGAACTCTTTTTGAACATTCACATAAATTGTTTGATCGTAGATTAAAACGAAACAGATAACTTGCAAATTTACCGTGACCAGATAAAAACTGAGACACTTAATTAAAATTTAACGAGAGGAAAGACTCGGAATTCAGTCTATGGTAAATAGAAGGAAGGAACTTTTTGGTGACTTCAGCATTACAAGATGAAATGTATTCCTCATTCCACATAGCTAAAAGCTTTTTATAATGAAAGGACTTCCAATAACTCTTTGGAATGCTAATGTTGATATCAATGGGTAAATTTAAGGCATCTTTAGCTAAGAAATCAGCTTTTTCATTTCCGTAGAAACCATGATGAGCATGCACATAAGCAAAGCAGATATCAATACCTCTAATTCTAAGTGAACTAACAACTAGGGTTTCGATAACTAATTTATCGCAGCTGGTAATACTGTTCAAAAGTTGAAGAGAAGAAAGAGAATCAGAACAAATAAGGTACTTTGAGGATGTTGTCCTATGATCCTGGATCCATTTGACGGCAAGATAAATGCACAGAAGTTCTGCTTGAAAAACTGTACATTCATTCCGTATACGGTGTTTAAGAAAACAAATCTCGGAATGGCCTTCAAAAAGAACAAATGCAAGGCCAACCTTGTTCATCTTGCTGCCATCTGTAAAGAAAACCATATGAAAACTTATTTCAGCAGTCTCTTTATAATCGCAGAAATTTATGGGTTCTAAAGAAGCGGGATGAGGAAGATCAGTGAAGGGAACAATTCCATTAATACAGTCTTCCGAAGCACGAGTTGCCAATGACTCAAAAATATTACTCTTATATGCAATTTCAAAATCAATAGGCGGAACTCCTGCAAGAACAAAAGTAGCCTCATAGCTTAAGGTTCTATAACCACTAATAATACGAAGAAGAATTCTCCGTTGAATCTTTCTTAAATTTCTTTTGTTAACCTTCTTGGCAAGAACATGTCCTCAAGCACGACAGCCGTACGAAATGAAAGGTACAATACACTGCTTATACATGAGTTTCTTAACATCGTAGTACTCCAAAAGTATTTTTGGCAATTCAGTGAAAGCCATTAGTAATTTTTTCACATTTAGCAGAAAGGAATTCAATGTGCTTTTTCCATGTTAATTTTTGGTCAAAAATGACATCAAGATATTTAACATTTTCTACAAATTCCAACGGAGAATTATCAAGCATCAAAGAAGCAATATGTTTTTCATCAAATGTACTGGGAACAAGCATAGCTTTACTTTTTGAAGGATTGAAAGTGAGTTTATGAGAAATCGCCCAACTGGAGACAAAATCTAGAACTTCTTGTGCTCTCAAAAGAATGTTATTCAAAAATCCTTCCTTGGAAAATTAATAGTAAGTCGTCTGCAAACGCAATTTTTAAACAACCGTTGAGATGACTTAAAAGATCATTTATGATTATGTTACAAAGAGTAGGTCCGGATACAGAACCTTGAGGACAGCCTTTTTCTAGAGAATAAACCTTAGCTTCGTTCCCAAGCTGAAGCTCAGCAGTCCTCTCGTTCAAGAAGCTTTTAAGAAGATTATAGATATTATGTGGTATACCAGCATCTTTTAAAATTTTTAAGATAGATGGCCACCAAGCATTATCAAAAGCTCCTTTGAAATCCAGGAAAATAAGAAGTGTAGTATACTTCATTTTCTTTGCACACTGCAAGATATTACAAAGGCGAATAGTGGCGTCTTCAGCGGACTTCCGAGGAGTAAATCCGAACTGAGAATCATTATAAAAGCATTTTTGTCTCAAATATCAATTTATTCCGTTAATGAAGAGAGTTTCAAGACATTTTCACAAAGTAGGCAAAAGACTAATGCATCTAATATTATCAAGATAAGGGGTTCTTGTATCTAAAGTTTTAGGAATCAAAACAACCTGAGCTCTCTTCCATTGTGCTGGAAAAACTGCTAATTGTAAACAAAGGTTGAAAAAGTCTGCGTAGAAATGTGCTATCCACCGCATGAAAGTGCTGTACAATTTCATTAGAAAGAGAGTCAAGCCCAGGTGATTTGTTCTTCTTGAGATTTTTAATAACACTGTTAACTTCTGAAGTAGAGAACGGACAGTCCATAAAAGAAATATAGGTCCATCAGACTCAGTGAGCATAGTTCTATGAGAATTTCTATCATCACGCGCATTATCTCTTGGGAAATTCTTTGTCATTATAGCAACAATTGTATCACTCAAACTCGAAGTAACACTGCCATCTGGGAGTTTAATTCCCGAAATCTCAATCCTTTTCGCAAAATTGGTCTTAACCCCATACTTATATATAGATTTCCAGACATTGTGAACAGTAATAGTTGAGAAAAAATTTCTCCACGGCTCAAGCTTAGCATTAGCTAATTTAGCCTTGTACTTATTTAAAGATTTTTTCCAGACTTTCTAATAACGGTATACTGAAATGACAAATTATAAGGGGAACAATACTGTGTGGAAGAAATGCTTGAGGGATAAAGCAACTTTAAGTAGGTGTAGTCAATTTATGGCACGGGAAAAAGCAGTTCTATGAGGAAAAAAAAAAGTTTCGCAAAGGCTTCCAAAAGAAAGATTTTGAAGAACCAATTGATAAGTTCTTGTCGAAGCTATACTGTTTCTTAGAAATAACTAATGCCAGTTTTCCCATTTCATAATAAATGCTAATTAATATAAATAATTTGCTATGCCATCAATTTTTTCCCCTGTGACATCTATTACTTCTTTTATATTAAAAAAATAAACTGTAACCCATGTGTATATGTTTACATTATATATATATATATACGAGGCAGTCGGCATTTTCCCTACCGACTCCACAGCCCTGCAAAGGAGGTCCAATGCATCATGCCAGTCTAGAAATAGTATGCAAGTGGATACTAAAAGCACAGAATGAATTTAAAATCAACACAAGTATTATGAGGTATATTTGACAAACTAGATCGAATGGAAGATGATTATTTATTTATGGATCAGAGTTACAGTGATGATAAAGATGAAACAGAATTCGATGATGTGCCTGAAGATATAATGGAATACGAATATGAAGAATTTTTCATGCTATCTGACAATGAAAATTTTTAAGTTCATAAAGCATGTCAATTCTTAAACACTCTTGTAAATAAGCAGCATTATCAATGCTGCTTATTTACACTTAAAGTTGAGTCTACAAAATAGAGATTTTATATTTTGTAGAATCAACTTTTCCTTATTTGGAAATCTATCAGTTGTATACCCAGTATATAACATGCACCATAAAATTTGATCTTATTTTTTGTATAAAAAGTGTACATTATACTATAGAATATACAGTAAATAACAATCCAAACTTCTTACACTTTTCAAAATTTAATGTAGAAGGAGGAATGCAGAATATTTTCCCTTAATATTAATATGGAATGATAAATTCTTTCCAGAAAATTAAGAATGTGACACTTATAAGTTGATCCAGGCCTGTGAAACAATCATACACTTTTGAATGAATACTTCTAGTAGATATCGATAAATCTAATTCTTCAAAGTTTTAAATTAAAATATTTAACAATTTTTAGCTCAGGATTTTAAAGACAAAGTGTAAAGATTTTAGCTTTTTTAATATAAAGAAGAATTTTTTCCACAAAATTTGTGGGATCTGAATGTTCTTTCTATAGTTTATTTGATTATAGCAAAGTGGAGAGCCATTTCACTTGAATAGAAATGCTTTTACGTAGGACCTTTTTAAAGAAAGTGATTAGCACATTTACCTCCTGTAAATACCAGGTATTTGTGTAAAAAGCCAACACCCACTGATACATGACTAACGTCAATTCTAATTTCTCCCAGTATTTAGGAGCACCGGAAAGTGTTCCACATTCTATAAGAAATGTATGATATTTTTGACCTTGTTAATCTCTCTCTTTTAT